CAAAATTCTACACTAAAGCTAAGTTGTTTAGTAAATAAAAGCCTAGGTTCCATGTTTCTGTATTAATAGCACAATTCAACTGCCAACCTTATGTAAATCAATGAGATGGGGCATGAGGGAGCCCCAGAACCAAGACTGTTGGCTTAAAAAGTCTTGTAAAAAGATAATTTCAAATACCTTTTTTGCATTCTTGTTGAACATGTGGGAAGCACCTGGGGTTTTATTTTAAACAAGACACCAGAAATAATGTAGAGGATTAAAAATCAGGTTCCAAAAAACATAGGCTGCACTTCTGATATAAACACATTTTGAATAACTATTAAAAAGGAAGTCCTACACATTTGAAAAGCCTTCAGTTTTGAGTTTTGTACAGCTGTAGTGTCTATAGAGACTACCTGAAAATCCTTAGAGGTACACAACACTGGTAGCTTCATTCACACACAAATAAACCAGCACACTTGAACAGCATTAAATACCAAACAGCAGTGCTCAGTCATAGGAAGTTCTCAAGTACAACCAAAACTGCAGCCAACTTCAAAAATTTTCATTCCATGTGAAAATGAGAATTTTTAAGAGTAACAAGAGTTACCATTAAAAGCTCCTATTGAATGGCAGCTTCATGCCACAAAAATCTCCTGTGTAGAAGACATTAATAAGTTTTATTCATTACAGCTTCAGCAAAGTGTCTGGAAGGGAACTCAGCTGCCAATTTCTGCTATATGCTTCTAACCTACTCCACTCCAGCTCAATCAGACTGTGCTCAGCAGGTCACAAGGTCACAAGTTAACTCCCAACTCAGCTCTGCCTCTATCACAAAGTTACTAAGAAATTAAGCACAGGTACCACTCTGTCCATCTCCATCGGTTCCTTACATGCTTCCTCCACACTCTCAGGACAAAGTACTGCAGGATAAGCTAACACAAGTGCATGCTCCCAGACTACCCTCTCTCAAGACTCTCCTCCTTCAGACAAGAGTGCCTAAGCTTCCATCCATTCTACATTTTATAAAGTAATGCTGTCACTGGCAACCTGCAGGATGCTTGGCACACAGTGAAGAGCTAACCAACAAAATACTTTTTAATCATTAATCAAAATATTGCTTGGTAATGGCCTACGGTAAGTCTATCAGCTGTCACAGTGCTAAGCCAAAACAAAGGTGACACTGAAAAATGCCGAGCAAAGCTCACAGTCCAGCAAGTCTAGGGATATGCCACTGGTTCCTAATACCACAGCCCTGGCAAAGTACCCTCAGAAATAATTGCAATTAAGCTATTTTCAGTTCATGGGATTCAGCTCTCAATTAGCTTCTACAACTAAACAAGGTGACATAACTAACTCCATCTTTTTCTGCAACATGAAAAATATCTAAGACACCACCTCCCCCACCCCCAGTAAAATCCTGAACAAAATCCCAAAACCAAACACCAAAGAGGCTGTTGATTTAGAAGATGCCAAATACTGGCAGCTCCTGTTGCAGTTGACTGATATTCTACCCAAGTCAGGATGGGTAGTTATTCAGGATTTCACAAGCAGCTCTGGTGTTTTATGTACACAAAATTGAGAGCACTTGTAATTAGGACCCACCATGGCTGCTGCTTGCAGTCTGGCACCCCAAAGATTATCTCTTGATAGATCCCGGGGGAAGGGGAGCACAAGTGCTGCTGGAACAGAGCTGATTTGGAAATACTTTGGACTCTTCAGTCTCACTTCTGCATTTCAAATCTCCTTTCAGCACATGAAATATTCAGATGTTAGCAACTGGAGGCAGCATTAAAAACAGTTACAGTTCATTAAAGCCAGATGGCTCACTTGAATATGAAAAGAAATCAAACATAAGTTGGATGTTGAATTAAAGTAAATCAGCTTGTGTCTGAGGCTTAATATTATTTTAAAACAAAGGCGCATGAGACGATGGGGACAGGAGACACCCCTGGGGCCAGGGGAGGAGCTACAGAAAGGATCAGGTTTCAGAGAATACCATCATGCCAAGGCATCCAGTAAAATCTATTTCAAACCCCTGTGTCTACCACACAGAGCCTCACTCTGCAGAGGCAATCAGGGAATGTGTGGCAGAGGTCTGTCAGAGCAGGGAAGAGGTTCTTCAGCACCTGGAACCTACAGCTCTGCTACTGAACACTGAGAAATCTGCTGCTAATGCAACAAGGAAGGTAAAGGTCCCTTCTGCTACTCTTGGACCATTATCTGGAGGTGGGAGATGTCCTCCTGCTCCCTATGCCCTTTCACACATATACCTATGCTTTATCACTTCAAGGAAATGCTAATTATGCACTCTCTGTGAGAGGAGATGGCATGTGCACTTCACCTGAAGACTTTTTGTAACTAATTTTTTATTGTAGGACTCACAGCAGGTCCAATCCTGCCACTGCACTAGATGAGACTCCAAACCTCAGGGCACAGATCCCTTCAAGCCCTATTGCTGTGATACACAACCACAGCTACAACCTGTGGCCACTTCCAGATGCTTCACTCACCCTCTGCTTGTATTATTACTGCAGAAATCAGCGATTTCCACAGTCTGCAAAAGACAACTTCAAGCTTTTTTTTAACCTTTTTCCTAATCTAACACCACTCCAGTTAATCATGAATATAGGCCTCAGCTGGCCTTTTTGCTCCAAGACGAGATAGTGGCTCCAGGAGAGGAGCAGGGCATGTTCGACTCCAGATTTGTATGCAACTGGGTACTTGCAGGCCACATACCTTATCAATGTATAAGCAGATCTAAGCTAGCTAAAATGCAGTTGCACAGGGTCCTTTACTGTAGGAGATAAGCCAGGCAGAGAACATCAGCCCTTTGGAAAACACATTTGCACCCTCTCAGAGGACAAAGAGACTCCACCCAGCCTGACTGAGGCTCTGCCAACTGGTCACTGATAGAACATCAAAAAAATGGAAAGGAAGTTCTAGGAAGACAACTTAAGTTGAAGTGTTTTAAATATCAGTAGAGTTCATAAAAAAATAATTCCATAGCACAAACAGCACCAAATATAATAAACTATTGGATAGGAGCCAACCTATTTTAGGTTCAACTTACAATGTGGTACTTGATTCCTCATAAACATTTCTGTGAAATCCATTCCAGGTATATTGGTGAGTTTCAGATCACAGAAGCTAGGAGCACTCTTAGAATTTTCAGCACCAAAAATGTCAGATGCATAGTGTAAATTTCTCAGTCAGAACCAAAACCAGCAGTGCTGGAGAAAATTAACTTTCAAGCTATTCAGTGTGAGTTTCATTCACTCTTCTGTAGCAATGCACTGGCAATACAGAAATACCCAAACCCTCACATTAGGGCCAGCACATCTTCTTAAAACAGCCACATCCTTTTGGGGGGAAATGTCATAGATTCTGGCTAGACACTGCTGCCAAATTGCTGGAAGGATACAGCTGATTACCTGCCACAGCAAACCAGCAACCATCTCCATCAGAGCACGACAGCAGGTATTTGCCTCCTTTGAAAAAAACTCTCTTCAAATCACAACTGAGAGAGGCAAAAAGCTAACAAATATTCAGAACAGCATTTGGTGTAAGAAGTCTTTAATATCTGTGATGGAACTATTGAAGATTCACAGATCAGCAAGTGTCTGCACGATCACTTCTGCCACACTCGGATAAGCAACTCCTCAAAGCCCCACACTGCCACACAGGAGCATGCAGGCACCAATGTGGGTATACAAGCCAATGCTTCGCTCCTTCTCCTCTCCCCCACCTGAGGATTTTTGAACTCCAGTCCCAGGGTAGGCACAAACCCAGCCTCTGTCTGATCTACCCCATCGAGTACCTTGGGATTCAACAACCACATCAACACTTCTCTAAGGGCCTGTTAACTGTTCTTCCCTACTGACAGCACCACAAGGCCAATACACAGCTATCAAACATGATATTCAAATTATTTTCTTGGGAAGCCAAGTATTGTGTATACCTACTTCTACGTCATTCCCTCTTGCCCCCTCCTCAGTCACTCTCTGCTCCACCCCCAGGCAGAGGTCCTACTTCTCCAAGAAAGGGTCTCCAGAGTCCCATACTTCATGCAAACTAAGAGATTCTCTAAACCTCTCAGAGTCAAAATATGGTTTAAGGTATTTCTTGTAGTTTTGTCTTCTCTTATTTAGTCACCAACAGTTGGCAGCCCGGATAACACTTCAGGTATTTTCTAACTTTCAGTTGTATAAACCAAGTATCTCACAAGCATATGCCTTCCTGGTACCTGACTTTCCACAAGTAAAAGACAAAGTGGAAGACTTCTCACAATCTCCAATTTACACCAGAATTCCAATTTCCAAGTCGTTTTAATTGCTGTTCCATGGCAAGTAAAAAATGAGTTTTGGTTGATTCTGCAGGGAAGAAAACTACCTGCCACAGAAGCCTTGGCTCAGCACTGTTAGCTTACTCCAAATCTTTCCTGCAAGGCCCAGAAAACAGACTACAGATAGGAAAAATAAAGTTTGATGCTTCTATAACAAAGTAATAAAAATACTACCAATTTCATTAGTCACAGCTGCTGAAGGAATTATCCCATCCAACGCAGAGAACAGAAACCCTTGGCTGAGCTCTTTAAAG